ACAGATGGCGATGCGATATCGCGGAGACTGGGCCAGCCAGTTGACATCCATCTACGTGGAGGAGTGGGCCAGACAGATGGCCGGTTCTCATGACGACCCCTACTTGGATGGACTCACAGAACAAGGACAGAGTCTGTCGGGAAATAACGGCCACAGAGCATTTCTTGCACCAACTGATGATGGAGGTTGCGAGATGCTCAATCTCACCGCCAGCCTTGTGATCGCCAGTCTTGCAGAAGGCTCACCTCGGTCCAGTACAGATTCACTAGAACGAGTCGCGGTCACTTTGAAACTGTTTTCGCCGACAGATTTGAAAGGCAATGTAGAACCTAAGCTGTCGAAGCCTAGGTTAGGAAAAATTGGGCAAGAAAACGCAACATGGATAGAGAAAAGCCAGATTACCGAGCATAACTTCACAAATTATACTCAGAAAACGAAATTGTCGAATGATTCCTTCCTTTCTGAAGCAGCTACCCAGGAGCCGCCACCTTTGACGTTGAAGGAGTTGATGGAAAATAATCCCTTTTTGGCAGGACTGAATAGAAGGGTTCGCGACAGAATAATCCGCCAATTGAAAAATATAACTAAGGAAATTATTCATCTGATTCTTGATCGAGGCTGGAATGGAGAAGACTCTGAAGCTGATCTCAAATGGTCAATGGAGGGGGCCGTACTATACGCTGTGACTGTCATTACCACAATCGGTAAGAATCGCATAATTTCAATACTATTAAAGCAAAATCACAGATTTAGCATTCCTTGAAAAATAGTGGGCATTTAGAGACAATTTCAAAGGGTCTAATTTAGAAATTAGAATTGATCTTTACAGTATATAACAGCGAATTTGAATGAACAATTTAACATTTGTAAGTTATTATAATTTGTGTAGACAAGCCTACAATAGAAATTGAATTGAATTTGTAAATGTATTTTAAATAAGACTTTTGGCTCATACCATGTCATTACCAGGCAAGAATTTTAGGTAAACATTTTTTAAAATTCACAGCAGTTTCATTAATATTAATTGAATTGACCAGTTTGAGTATACAATTTGCAATTTTTGTGAGTAAAGTGTTGTCTAAAAATAAATTTTGAAATATTTTTGTTGGATAATAGAATGAAAAAAATATAGCTAGAATAATTGGTTATATGTTTGAATCTTCGAAAATTTATGCCTACCTCATACTACTTTAGAAAATCCATTACAGGTAATAATTCACCTAGCAAATGTATAGTATAAACCAAATAAGTTATTTTTTTAACTTGTTTATAGGCGAATTGCTAGATTAAGGTTACATTTAGCGAATAAAAATAGGCTATTTTTGTAAATTGCATAATTAATTAATTAATATGTTTTGCCGAATTCTTAAAAATGTATCATTTTAGCTTCATGATATGACGTTTTTATCAGGCATAAAACTCCTTAATAATGTTCGTGATATTAGACATAAAAGGAACTTATTATAATTATTTTCGAGATTAGCCCCATAACGCTTTCCTGTATAATAGACTAGTGCTTAACAGTTGAGTTTTTGTAGCTAGAGCAAAAAGGCGATTATACTTTAAAAGTACTCAATTTAGCGACAATACTAACGTTCAGCTTAACAGTAAAATTTATTGTTTTATTTTAAAGCCTTAAACCTTTATTACTATTTCCGGCCAATATTAAATTTAGCTTGATGTCGTTTAGGAAGGCTATGATTATTTATACAAAATATTTTATAATACAGATATCCAGAAAGTCCTGGACTTTGTGAACATACTCTAATATTCACTATATTGTACATTTACCATTTTGTTAGCCAAAGTGAAAATTTGAAAGAAAAGCACCCAAGGTTATTTGAAATATTCCTATTAAATTTATAAATGGATGATGTTTCACAATCTTTGTATTATACTTATAAGGTATACTAGCGGTGACAAAAGATTCTAATAGATTCAAGCATCTACAATTCAAGCTCTGCTAAGAGGCTAATATTCATCGGTTATTTTATAACATATCATCTAGTCCTCAATGTTATATATAAGTGTATTTATTCAGGAGTATCTCTAATTCAGATATATTTTGGGATTAAACAATATACTTTGGTATAAAACCACTTTAAAGTAGTCAATAGCCTCGTAAATATGGTTTATTTAATTTTAAAAAATATTATTTTTATTAAAACAGTATTAGCATGGCACCGATGAGGTGACTGTCAGCAAAAATACGAATAGGTATTTGCTGTATTAATCTGAATTACTATCATCTAATACTCTACACATTATAAAACAATTTCTTTAATAAATATATCACTTCATAAGGTGTCATAAAACACATATTTCAACACTAGTTTCTATCGAAAGTTATGGGTAAGAGCAACCAATTTTGGTAAATTCCTAAATTTGATTGTCAATTAACCCTTATACATTGTGTATAAAAGATGCAAGTTTTAAATAGTTGAAGGTTGATGGTAAAAACCATTTTACAATTTATTCCTTAATACGTTAGGGTAGGGAAGTTAATAATCAATAGGTCTTATAAAGCTTAGACAATAATAATTGCATAATCTATAAGGAAATAACAATAGTCCTAGCAGTTTTATCCCAGATAAAAATTATGCAAACATTCTCTTATAGAGTAGATTTTGCGTAGGAGAAATGGAATCATTTAGTAGACACTAAGTGAACCAACAAGGACATCCTTAATTAAGAATTATTTATGCCCAAGCACCAATTATGACAGTTAAAGCAGCTAAATAAATTTTACCCAATAAATATTTATGTGTCTATGGGCAATCAGAACAAATTGAGGTTTTACCCACTTCAGCAATTATTTCAATTATAGCCCAAACAAAACAGTTTTGAATGTTAAGTTCTAATTGCAAATAAATTCCGGGGAGCGCAATCTGTCTGCTCTTGTTCATGAAGTTGAGTGAAATTTATTATCTAAAAATATTTAACGGATTTAGCATCTTTTAATTTTCTAAACATCTCTCTCTCTCTTCACTCATCAGACAAAGGTCCAATATGATTTGTATTTGTGTTTGCTGCAGCCAGACTGTTCGTGTAGAAAATGGTTCTGTTAGTTCGCCTGAATTTAGCCTCCAGATAGATGATATTGTAGAATAATCCTTATAAACTGATCTTCAATTATTAGCGAGCTTGAACAACCATTAAATATAGTTATTTTATTACAAACTACATCTGTTTATGGTATTTGAAATTAGGTATACAGATAGCTTCAAAGTGGTCTTTTAAAGTGTTTTTTTTGTAGTTCGAATAATAATTAATGTGGTATGCAAAAGTAAAAATGGAAATAAAAACAGGA